GTCCGATTGATGATAAGCTTTGAGCTTCATTGGACCAGGGTGTCTACTAAAACAAGCTGGCCAAAAATCAGTGCTTTTATATGCTTTTTCAGTACATTCCCATAAGAAATTCCCATAAGTGCCTCCTCCATAGGAAAATTCAGTACTTTTTCGACAGTACCTATCTCCAAATGACGAAAATCGAAAAATTCCAAAAATTTAAATTTCTCGCCCAAGTTGCGACAAAAATGACAAAAAAAGAAAAAAATTCCGGGCCTTCTGCGGAATTTCCGCACTTTTCCAGTACTTCCGAACCGCCTTTAAAGAATCAGTAGTATTATTCCCGGAAATTCCGGACTTGTAGACACCCTACATTGGAATACCTGCATTCTAGGGTTTTTCAGAAAATGCGCATGATCAATTAGACTGCATTTTGCAATTTGGACCTATAAATCCTGGCTCATCTGAAAAAAACACTTATGTGTACAGGGAAACTAATGGTACATACGTTGTTTTTAAACCGGGCCGGAATTTAAAGGTCCAAATTGCAAAATGCGGTCCAATTTTAATATCGACGGATTTCGATTCTGCCGTGATGAGGAAAAACCCCGTTTGAGCTTTTTGACGTTGCCAGATTCCCTCAGATAGAATTCATATGTCGAAGGAAACCTGTGAATATCTCCCCCGACTTCGTTAGAGAATTTCGTTGGCAATGTGATCTAGGTGCACCTCAAAACCCTGAGAAAAGATATTCTTAACTCTCCTCGAAAATTAGCATCTTATGAAGGGGAATTCGGCAACGTAGAATGGTCCATAAGGCGTTTTTCCTTAGCACGGTAGAAATCGTCGTTCTCTCCGCAAAAGAACGTAACTACATTTTACGGTTGCCAAATTTCCCCTCGCAAATTGCAATTTCAACAGGAAAATCTTGGACACTTTCGACTGAAAATTTCATCGATTTTTCTTCTGACCTCATGCAAAAATCACAACAATTTTGGACAAAAATCGCACGGGGGCATTTTTGTAAAAAGTGAGTTTTTTAAGTCAATTTGGCAAGCTTGGAATGGAGTTACGTTGCTACGTCTGAAAAACGACGAAATGTCACTCGGGTTCGATTATGCAACCGATCGTGTAGGTAGGACCCGGCAATGAGCCACGAGGTGACGATCAAAATGCGAGCACGCTTTGAGTGCTTCGCCTAATTTATCGACGAGCTTTAATCGTCGCTTTTCGGACGTAAGAGCCTACATCGATTTTCGAGTGAGCCCCGAAAAGCATGGAGATATACGTATAACAGGGTTCACGTGGAAATGGAATAGGTCCTTACGTGAGGGAGGCGGGCGTAGTGACGTAGCCGCGACGATTATGACGCTCGATAATTTCGACCCGTGATTATAGAGGCCGGTCGAGCAGCAGGGCGTTTTTTACCTCAAAGCTCAAGAGGATGATGAAGCTAGCGTGTCCTCTTGGGCTGCATATGTTTCCAAAAAGCCGACTGAATACTTTTGGGATTGTTAAATTCACTCGAAAATTACGCCGGTCACATGAAAGAAGTCAAAATTTCACTCGTTAGCGCGCAATCCGCGTAGTTTGTGACACATAAATAAATCAAGTCGCTTTTATAGCGCGCCCGGGCGCTCTGTGACACCTAATCGCCACTCTTGTCTATCGTCTATTTGTAGTTTGTGACACGCTTTTTCAAATTTACCGCAAATGCGGGCAGTTTTTCTTGGTAGCGGGTAATCAGAATTGCCCGGAGAGAAACCTAACCTAGATACCTGAATGAACAATATCGCGAACTGTTATAAACTCTCCTTTCGTCGGATTTCAATTGATTCAAAGCTTTTGTTTTTGCAAAGTAAAGAGAGAGAAAAGAAAAAGAGGCTAGCCAAAAATCAGTACTTTTACAGCACTTTTTCAGTACATTCCCAAGAAATTCAAAACCTCCTCAACAGAAAAATTCAGTACTTTTTCAGTACCTCTAATCGACAAAATTGGGAAAATTTCAAAAATTTGAATTTCTCGCTCAAATTGCGACAAAAAATGAAAAAAATTCCGGACCTTCTTGCGGAATTTCCGCACTTTTTCAGCAATTCCGAACCGCCCATGAAAAATCAGTACTATTTCGTACTTTCCAGAAATTCCGGACTTGTAGACACCCTGCAAACGCTTGAAAACGAATGAAATCATAACATAGAAAAAGTTAGTCAGATCGTTTGTTCTCTCAGATTAGTTTTTTTACTCCTCCGCCCTTGCAAACCTGGTCGGCGCCGCGCCGGCACGGTGCCTGAGAAAAACTGCCCGCAGACGCGGGCAACCTGAAAAAGCGTGTTATAAACTACGCAAATTGATCGGTAAAGAATGGATTTCGGACTTTTTTGACGTGCCCGGACAGATTTTTGGGCGATTTTACCCGTAGAGGTATACTTAATTGTATCTCTTGTGTGCAACAGACCGATTCCTGAGACTTCTACGAAATTCTAAGAAAATTTCTCAGCAGAAAGTTTCATCTCGCGACTTTGAGTTCTCCGTACTCCCGGTAAAAAGCATAAAAACGAGGGAGAAATCGGACAATATATGGTACACTGAACTCATGAGCGGCATTTACATTCTCATTAGGGGAAAGGAGGAAGGCAAAAAAAAATCATAACACAAATTACGGCGAAACTCGAGGGTACTTATTTTGTTTTCGTGTAAAAACTGCAAAAAAAAAGCGAGAAAGAAGAGATTAAAGAGAGGCAAAGCATAGGTGTCAGATTGTGTTAAAATCGCCATTTTCGCCAATATTGCCGCGGTTGGTTGGTTAGTAAATTTATTTACAGGTACCTTAACATGGATTTACAGGGTGTCTAGTTTTTTTTTTTTCATTTTGGGAAATCCTGATGAAATCCTGATTTTTCCTGATTTTTGACTGCTAAATCCTGATTTCATAATTTTTCGAAATCCTGATTTTTGGCGGAGAAAAAGAGGCGAATGTAACTTCACAAAAATAGCCCAATAAAAAAATCCGATCAGACGTCCGACTTTTCTCAAATCCTGATTTTACGATAGATTTTTCCTCAAATCCTAATAAAATCGGGATTAAATCCTTTACAACTCAAATTTTGATGGAATCGGGAAAATTCTGGTGCCAGACACCCTGATCTAAATGGAGGAAAAACAGTGTTGCCAGGTTAACTCGCAAAAGCGCTCGAAAAAACTCGATATTTAAATGTTATCACAAAATCTGGCAGCCTTGAACGACAAGACAGCGAGAACGGAATACGGCATGAGTCAGAGTAAGTAAAAAGATTCGCGAGAGGGGAGAGGAGTTGAAACGTAGCACTATCAGATGAAACCAAATGCGCTCAGTTTTTGACCTCGAAAAATTATCTTTCGGGCGTTGTTATCACGGAGCCGGCCGGCGCCGAGCTGAAATTTTGTCGAAATTTTCGTGGCTTTCCATGATGCACATCCTTTGTGCGTGCTTCATTACTGGCGAGCATACGTCCTCAAGTTTCAAAAATATTGACTCATTCAGCTTCGTTCGATGATGCAATCGCGGGGTTCGAATTAAACTGATCGATCGAACGTTGGTCCGGATATATCGGTAAATTTATTTAAAAGAAAGGAGAAAAGAAATTGGAATGGGATTTTGAGCCATGGCGGATTCAGCAAATTGACAACATTGTTTTTCTCTGACCTCGAAGAGAAGGGCAATGTTCGTCGGATTCGGTCAAAAATTTGGAAAATTTGAATTTTGGTGTTTGCTGACACTCTGGGACATCGTCCATGATCAGGGTTGTAAGTTTAATCCGATTTAAAAATTCCCTGACTTTTTGGGAAAATTCCCTGAGCACCGGCACCGGCGCTAAAGTTGCCTGACTTTTTACGAAGAAAAAGGGAGGAGGTATGAAGTTGAAACTTGCATAAAACCCGAGTACAGACACGAACGCGAGAACGAATTCTAGCTTTTGCAACTAGATATCTTTAGGCAGGGGTGCAGTTCTTAAGCCTACGCAGTTCTAAGCAACCAGGGATTTAGCCTAGGCACTATGACATTGCGCGTTCGCAGTAAATTTCACCAGAAAATAGCGCGCTTAAAGTGATTTTCCGAATATTAAGAGTGATCGCATTAATTTTCTGAAAATTCAACGCTTTCGCGATGGTTTTCTCCAAAATTTCAACGCACACGCACTGGTTTTGAAAAAATAAGTGCGTTTGCACTAATTTTTACACAAGATGAATATCCTTGTCATCATTTTCTGTAAAAGCCAGCGCGCAGAGCGTTCATGATGCTTTCGAATAAACCCGATTTTTTCATTCGTGTAACTGAACGTTCGGTTCGTGTGACCGAAATTCATTAATCAGTTCTTTTTAGCTCATACATACGGTTATACGAACCGTGCGTTCGGTTATACGAACTGAAAGTTGGGTATAGAGAGCCAAGTTCGCCTTCATTTTGTCATGGATATGCAATTTTACCTACTTGGAAGTTGAAATAGTTGTATCGCGCGTTTCGCCCAATTCAACTTTTCTACCCCTGCGTTAAAGTCTCTAACTCAGCCGAAAAGAGTTCACGTTCTTCTTCATTTTGTGAATATGCAATTTTATTTTCTTGGAGGTCGAAATAGTTGTATATTGTAATAACGCGTTTCACCCCATCCAACTATTCTACGATCGGTTACATGAACTGAAAGTTGGGTATAGAACCAAGTTCTCCTTCATTTTGTCATGGATATGCAATTTTACCTACTTGGAAGTTGAAATAGTTGTATCGCGCGTTTCGTCGCATTCAACTTTTCTACTCCTGCGTTTAAGTCTCTAAGTCAGCCGAGAGAAGTTCAAGATCTCCTTTATTTTGTGAATATGCAATTTTACCTACTTTGAAGCCGAAATAGTTGTATCGTGCGTGTCGCCCCCTTCCCCCGGTTGATTCGGTGTTTAGGATTTTAGAGAAGCGGAGATTTTTTTGAATGCAATGTAGAAAAATGAAACAGTCAACAGGTGAAGCAATGAAAGAGAAGTTGTGAGATACTTACAGTTCACATTTTTCACGCCATTCAACCGTGTCCGTTGCCTTCTCCTTGACCGACGTTTGATACTTTTCCTTATCCAAAGCAATGACAACGAAGCAGTTGTTGGTCCCTTCGGAAGAAGAGAGCAGTGTTAGAATTTGAACAGACAAATGATTAAAAATGATTACTTATTATATATGTCGTAGGCAATTAGCAATCATCGGCAATTCGCAGGCGGTTCACATGTTTTTTCGATAAATTGCAATTATACGCAAAGACATACTGCAATTTTTAGGGGGTTTTGGTCTTCAAAAACATGAGCTCAGCTTGGAGCGCCTTCATTATTAGTGATACTCCACGCTTTCTCACGAAGCTGGTTTAGTTGCCTGTCATATCTCAGCCCAACTAATGCCATGGAGTTCACTGCACGCTCTTTCGAATGTGCCTATTTCTACCATGTTTTCACGGAGGAAAAAGTGTCTATTCGCATGATAGGCAACATAATCAACACTCTAATCTTCTCCTTCTATTTCTGAATTTTATGCTTTTCTATATTTATTCACCACTGACTTGCAAATTGCCGGCGATTGTTAACTGCCTACGTCTTATAGATTTCAATAAAAAAAGAACTGCATTGCTAACTACAAGATGACATGACGATTTCAGCTCAATTAAGAGGGGGAGATTTCGAAAGTTGCTTTTAACTGACTAGTGAGTCCGCCATTGAAAATATGTAAGATAACAAGGAAATAGAGTCCGCGTTAACAAGTTTACGCACTTTTAGACTGTGACAGGAGATCCACCATCTCGCTTCTAGTATTTTTTACTTTACGTGTTAAAGTGACGTCAGACGATATTCCGCTGCAGTCGGGAAGTGCGTAAACTTATTGGGCGAGGACTCTAGGAACAAAGCTGTCGCTTTTGGACTAGCACAATTTTTTGATGGCTTCTCTTACCTTCAAAATCAAAAACCCAGTACGTATGATAGCAAAACATGGTCAAAGAAAAATTTTATTCATATACTAACTAAGGTTCGATGATTGGTCGACTTCCAAACAATTTCATACTTATTTGAAAATCATAGTGCAATTTTTATCATCAATTTTCAAGGCTTTTAAAATTTTCCCCTCCGCTACCATTATTTCAGTACAACATCATGGTATCTAGAATTCTTGGCCATGTTGATTCCCTGATTTTCCATAAAATTTTATTCGTTCCCTGATGAATCCCCAAGTTTCCCGGTCTAGACACCGGAGCATTTTTCAGAAAATATCGTGGCATTCATAAAAGTCCGTTATTTTTCACAGGAGTAAAGCCACAAGTTGCCTCCATTTTCGCGTGTTACTGTGTACATACTCCGGCGTTCGAATACTTGCGCGCTTAATTTCAACATTAAAAAATAATAGCTAAATATAGCATAATAGCTAAATTTATAAACTTCAGTATTCCGAGACAGGCGAATAGCTAAGATTTTCCTTCATTTTCACGTGATACCGAAAGAATACTCCGGAGTTCGAATAGTTGCGCGCTTGGTGTCCGTTTTGACCGGTGTTAATTCGTAAAACGTTCCAGTGCTTTCCGTGAGCATAAAAAAATACGCTATTTATCCAGCGGTTTTGTGAAAACATAAGAAATTCTACTTCATTTTCAACTTAGTCGCGCCAAATACGCGATCTTTCAAGCAATTTAGTAAAAAAGCGAGAAATTACGCTATCGTCATATCAATATCGTGAGAAATACGCGATTTTTTCAGCGGTTATGTGAAAACCTAAAATATTAAGCAATTTTCACCTCAATATCGCGGGATTTACGCGATTTTTCGACGACTTTGATAAAAACATAAATAAAACTTGAATTCACCTTAATATCGCGAATCCGCGATTATTCCAGCAGTTTTGTAATGAAATAAAATCTCAATCGATTTCCGCCTTAATATCGCAGCCGATGCGCGACTTTTCCAGGGGTTATATAAGTAAAAACATAAGAATTATGCGTTCGTCACCTTCACGCGATTTTTTCAACTATTTCGTGAGAACATAGGTGAATACGCATGTTTCCATGAATGCGGCGCCATTCATGAAGTCAGAAGTTTGAGACAGACAAAAAGCCAAGAGTTGCCTTCATTTTTGCGTGATACCCCATAACGACTCCTGAGTTGGAATAGTTGCGCGCTTGTTGTCCGCTTTGACCGATGTTGACTCAGAAGACATTTTTAAGCAAATTTCCGTAAACATTAAAGAAAGAAAGAAAAAAAAGGAATTAATAAAAAAAGGGGATTTATTCAGCGATTTTGTAAATAAATAAGAAATTACACTTGAATTTTATCTCAGCATCGCAGCACTTAAGTACGTGATTATTACAGCAGACTTTTAGGGAAAAGGAAAACTTATGTGTTTATGATCTCAATATCGCGATGACTAGGTAGGAGAGAAAATAAAAAAATATGTGTAGTACGTAATTATGAACTCACCATGTTTCCCTTTGGTCAGTAAATTTCTGGCTCTTTGAACTGAAAAAGAGAAGATTAAAGAAAGGAAATTAATCTCAGAGGCAAAGAAATGATCGTAGAAGAGCAAGACAAATGAAAATATTAAGAACGGAAAAGAGGCCAGGATTGAAAGTATACCTATGAAACACCTTCGTGCATGAGAGGAAGAATTTACGGAAAATCCAGTTGCATCCTTGTTAAAATAAAAAATTTCAATCAACACATACATTTCACACACCAAATGATAGGGCACAAGTCATTAAACATTCGCCGCAAATACCATTCAGAAGGTAACTAAAATTCGAATAGTGAAACTGCAGAAATGTGCGTGTCCCATTGTGACATTACAGAATTCCTGTCGTACTTTTTTTTTCTACAGATGAACCTACTAAACGTAATTTCTTGAAAACGTCGGTGAATTATCTTTTCTGTATGAAGGATATTCTATGGAAATTTCATGCCATGTATTATGATGTTTATCCAGACACTTTAAAAAAAAAAATATGAGCAGAAAATTTGAAACCTTCGATTTATATCAATATAAAAAGAGCCAGCTATATGGCATTGGTGTTTCAACAGTAAACATCTTGTTAAGATTTGATACAAGTCGTTCCCTGATCAACGCAAAGCCAATCTCTCAGACAATATCGATGGTCAAAATGCAAAACCATGCATCTCCATTGTATTGTTTCAAAGTTTCCGCTCGGATTTTATTTCTTCGAGGAGAAACAAGTCAACATTAAAGCTTAAAAATGATACAGAATATTTTGCTGATAAAATAGAAAAATCGAGGGAATTTTCAAGAAATTATGATGACTAGTTTCCCAAAGATGAAATAAAGTATGACAGGAAGTCTGCAACATTGCAAACGAAGATACATGATTTCCAATTTGGCCATCACTATTGAAGGTAAAACTGGAAGAACAAGACTAGGTATATCTCGATTGCTGTGATGCAAAATGTCCTCCATACCTTATTTACTCAAAGACAAGTTGAAAATATTTGCACTAATTTTTTCAAGAGAATTATTTGAATGTCGAGAATTCATGATAAATTTCATTAACTCAAGATAGCTAAACTTCCATTCTCGCCATTTGAGTAGAATGTGCTTGGAATTTTGCAACGTCAGAAAATTGAGATACGTAATCTTCGTGTAGCACCATCAATATTGACCTAGCGCCTAGTTCCCTTGTTAGTTGCATTAGGCAAGCACATGCAGGAGTGCAACAAGAGAACTCATTATTGAAATTGTTACACCTGCTGATGACAATTGAATTGCGCTTAATGTCGAAGTAAACATCCTAAGTTGACTAATTACGAGTGTTGTTGCCAGTGCAATGGGACATTTCAGTATCTGTTCATTAGTGCAGTGCTTTCGTACGGGCAAAAATAAACTCAAGAAATTATTGATTACTATGTGTACTTAGTATGGAGAAAACACAGAAATAATTACTGATGAGGAATATTGTTGGATCTTTCTACTAAAATTTAAGTAATGTGAGCGATACCAAAATGAAATGATACACTTTCAACTTTTTGGCTGAACAGGTTTGTTGTTGACTGACAAGTACAATAAGATAATGAGTAACTTTCATGTTTACGCAGCAATGATATACCAAATTTACAAATTGAAATAACCTTGTGGACTGAACAAGTGCATGCAGTTCTACATTGGTGCAAAATTTGAACAATTGATAGTTATCTGCCATGACATTGGAACACCACATGGTTCAGTTACCTTAAGTCTGTTTTTCAGTCTTGACGTGATTAGATGAATTTTCTTTTTTTGGACAATGATAATTTTGGGCTAACTTAGCACCTTTAAGTCAAAACTGACTGCAGTCGTACACGAAACTTGCCAAAAATGGAAAAATAGGACTGCGGGAAAAATATAAATAAAAATAAAATAACGAGAACAAAACTAAGGCTAAAAACAAGTTTGGCGTTATTTCATATCAGGACCGAAAAAGTATGAAAGGTAACTAAACCATGCAACCAGTTAACGTTCGTCATCACCCTAACAAAACACGGTCCTTAAAGTGATGGCACTAGATCTTGAGAGTTCTACCAAACCTGTTGATTACCCTATCAATTGGTAAATTTTTCATTCTTATAGAAGGATTTTTGAAAAGCTCATCATTTTACACCAACTACTAAATTAGATAGGCTATTCAAACTACAGTCATGACGATACCTTATCAGCAGCAAGTTTAAGCGTAGGTTTACAGCTTAACAGTCTCAGCGTTAGGCTACGATATCGATATACAAGAAAACTTTTGGCCAAAACTAAACATTATTTAGGTGAGAAGTTTACGATAGAATTAGAAACTGAATGTTCAAATTCTAATCCTTCCAAGAAACGTGAGTAAGAAAGCCATTTCCCTGCAAAATAGAGATTTAGCCTCAGGTGATATACAGCCAAGTACAGGAATGCAAGTACAGTTATCTCCCAAGAGGCCACTGATAAGTAGGTGCTGTGTTGTTATTTAGCCCACCAATGGTTAAACTAGTGAATGTCAAGGATTGAATTTCATTCATCACTAAATAGCTGAAAAGCTGGGAGAAACTTTAATTTCCACATATATCCAGGAGTAGGTGTGTACAAATTTTTATAGGTTACGAACGCAGTATTTACCTGTGACTTGAACGTGTGTGGGGCTCCACATACGACCACTCTTCTTAGACTCCATCGTGTTAAAATGGCTCTACTATCCACAGAAGAAATCACATCACTGGTAGAAACGAAATTCTAAATTCACGAATAAAAAATTTCCACACTCGCAAGAACACATTGCCAGCAATTACCGAACTGTCATCGATAATAATAAACACAAACGAGTGTCAGTCCGGGCTGGAGCTGAATCGGAATGAGGATGGGCGGAGCTTCGTGACCTCCTCCCCGCCGCTACTCCATCGCTCTCATATGATCGCAAGGTCATTCACTCCTCCTCAATTTTACGGGTCGCGCCGCACAATTAACCGGCAGGAAATAGAGTATTAATGGGGTACTTCGGCAATAGGGGGGCTGCGGGGGTTTAGCCCCCCCAGAATTTACTTGGATCCCTCCCAAGAATGAGAGAGATTTCGCTACATAAGTGCGTGCATAATTTTTTATCCTTCTTATTACTTATTGGATCAACTTTTCGGTAGGAACAGCTCCTAATTGCCTCTAATATAAATCAATTTTTCCAAATTTTTATTAGGGAGGCTCCCCAAACCCTTTGTAGAGCTAGGCGAATCCTGCAAACACTCCTCAGTAGGGTGTCTTTAAGGTGATTCGTAAAGCTCAAATGACGTGGTCGAACTGGGATGCGATATATCGCATCGATTAGGTGAAAAATCTCGGCAGATTTTGAATATTTAGCAAAAACACAAACATACTCAAAAGAACAAAAAATTGAACGTATTGAAGTAACCGACAGACTTCTGAAGTAAAGGAAAACATAAAAATTAAAGCCACTAAACGTGTCCAAGTACCATTATTTCCTAAAGAACCGAGCCAGTACTGCGATTTACACGCGCTTAAAACGTGGGTCTGCAAATCCATCCTAAAATATAATCAGACAAGGACCTGAAAAAAGAGGAAAGAACGAGTATCAACACAGCCGAAGTCAAGAAAGACGTATTCGGGCCTCCTTTTCAACTTTTCCTCCGAATATGAGTGACACCTCATTGACAGCATACAGCAGAGCATATTGAGAGCACACGCTTCGCGTCATCGCGCCTTCAATTTTTCAGATGCAGCACGGACGTCCATCAAGTACGAATAGTTGTATCTCCGCGCCGTCGTAAACGCGCAAATTTTTCCTCGCTCTATATCCATATTGTGTTCGTTTCCTGTCTTATTTGGAATGGTGCGTCAAGCACTACGTGAGTAACACAGCTTTACATACATTACCTATTAAAGTACAACTGTAAATACACTAAAAATATCGATTTTAGATGAGGCAGTAAGTTGTCTCACCGAGAATCGATTGCTTAAAGGCCTGGATACACGCTCAAATTTCCATCAATTTCCGATCAAATGGTGGCTGGTGCGCACCATCTACCATCAATTTTTTGCGGCCTGCAAAAATTTGATGGTAGATGATGGAACTGTGGGTCTCATTCACCATCTGATTTCCACACAACCGTGCTTATTTCATGCTTTTATCAATCAACACGCTGTTTTAATTAATTTTAGATAATAATTTAGATAACTCTCGACCGCCATTTTTGTCATAATTTTTATCGGAAATTGACGGAGAGAGTGTGTATCCAGGCCAGGCCCGCCACATCCCATCTCGGGCCCTGGTACCAGTAATAAGGTCCGGGTCCTCAGCACGGAGGGGGGGGGTGTCGGAGGGGCATCCCCCGAGAAATTTTAGAATTTATACGACTAATCGGACGCATTTTGAAGCTTCCAAAAAGAATTTTTCCATCAATTTCTGCGGAATAATTATGTTTCTTTTTTATACTTTCAGCACAAAATACTTGCGAATTGTTGCATTCAAAACATCTGGAAAATTTTTATTTCTTTTGGGGGGGGCATATGATACTATTTTCAGTTCTAAGAGTCCCTGGATTCCCCCTTCGTTTGTCTATGGCAAGAAAGTTGAGGCATGAGCCATTGAAGTAGAGGATGCCCAGACTGGAGATTCTTAGCATCTGACGACAGAAGAAAATGAAACGCAGTTACTAAAAATATCCCTCTATACTAAAAATCTTGAAAATAAATAGAAATTTTCCAAGAAGTATACTTTTTTTAAAATTTAAGAAGAATTCTACAGTACCCCAGCGTATTTCTGATAATCTATTCACCTTTTGCGAAATTTCTAGGGTTAATTTTTCACTTCTTCTTACGAAACAAGGGTTGCATGTGAATTCGTAGTGGTTTTTCACGGGTAACACGGGCCCCGATGCCAGGGACCCAGTATCCCCCCCTTGTGGCGGGCCCGCCTTCATGCACGCTGGGCTTGTCGATTTCCTCTGAAATTTTTGCAGTGGTGAACGCATAGCTGAAGTGCGCTTCAGCTAGAATTGTATTTACAAATGGGTTGTTTTTCTACGAGGATTAAAAATAAACAAGTGGCACGGAATGTAACAAAAGAATATGAAGTATGCAAAACGATAATCCGGGTATCGGAACTTGGCTGATTTGAAAACGCCTTCAAATGCAGCGTGATACCTCACGCATTCCGGAGAGTTCAAATAGTTGTATCATTGCGCCTTAGATATGCGACGGAAGATTACAAATTGAAATAGCCTTCATACACGCTGGCCTTTTTGATTTCCGTTACCATTTTTGCAGTCATGAATGCGCTTAAGTGCGCTTTAGCTAGAATTGTATTTCGCAAAAGGGCGGTTTTTATAGGAGGAATATAATGAAACAAGTGGTTAGAAATGGAAACAAAACATTATGAACTATGCAAAACGATGATCCGGGTATCAGAACTTGGCTGTTTTGAAAACGCCTTCAAATGCGGCGTGATACCTCACGCATTCCGGAGAGTTCAAATAGTTGTATCATTGCGCCGTAAGATTGTGACGGAAGATTACATTGGAGATAGCCTCCATGCACGCTGGGCTTGTCGATTTCCTCTGAAATTTTTGCAGTGGTGAATGCATAGCTGAAGTGCGCTTCAGCTAGAATTGTATTTACGAATGGTAGGTTTTTCTACGAGGATTAAAAATAAACAAGTGGCACGGAATATAACAAAAGAATATGAACAATGCAAAACGATAATCCGGGTATCGGAATTAAGCTGTTTTGAAAACGCCTTCAAATGCGGCGTGATACCTCACGCATTCCGTTAGTATGAATGTGACGGAAGATTTAAATGGAAATAGCTTTTATGCAGGCTCGCCAAATCCCATCTCGAGCCCTGGTACCAGTAATAAGGTCCGGGCCCCAAACACGGAGGGGGGGAGGGAGGGTCCGAGGGGCATCCTCCGAGAAATTTTAGAATTTATACGACTAATCGGACGCATTTTGAAGCTTCCAAAAAGAATTTTTCCATCAATTTCTGCGGAATAATTACGTTTCTTTTTTATACTTTCAGCACAAAATACTTGCGAATTGTTGCATTCAAAACATCTGGAAAATTTTTATTTCTTTGGGGGGGGCATATGATATGATACTATTTTCAGTTCTAAGAGTCCCTGGACTCCCCCTTCGTTTGTATATGGCAAGAAAGTTGAGGCATGAGCCATTGAAGTCGAGGATGCCCAGACTGGAGACTCTTAGCATCTGACGACAGAAGAAAATGAAACGCAGTTACTAAAAATATCCCTCTGTACTAAAAATCTTGAAAATAGATAGAAATATTCCAAGAAGTATACTTTTTTGAAAATTTAAGAAGAATTCTACAGTGCCCCAGCGTATTTCTGAAAATCTATTCACCTTTTGCGAAATGTCTAGGGTAAATTTTTCATCTTTTCTTACGAAACAAGGGTTGCATGTGAATTCGTAGTGGTTTGTCACGGGTAACACGGGCCCCCTCCGGGGCCCGGGCCCCGGCACCAGGGACCCAGTAACCGCCCCTCCCCCTTTGGCGGGCCTGATCCAGGCCTTTACATACATTCAGATGGAGGAAAATCAGTTTTGCCAACTTGTAAGAATCGCCACTGTCCTTTGGCTTCCCCGATCTCCGTAGAACCACTTATGGTCTCATTGTTAGATGCATGAAGTAAATATCTCAAATCTTACGAGACAAATTTCCATCTATTTATTATTCTGCCTGAAAACTTATGATGTGTAGTGAAAAAATTAATTCTATCATACATGTTACTCTTCCAGGTCGCATGACTAATATTTGTTACTGCTAAAAGATAACTCTTGAATGAGTATACCAATCTCTTAATATAATTATAAATGAATTTAAAGTACCCCAAATATAATACAAGCACACAACCTGGGGGGAAAGGCTAATATAGACGTAGAAGAAATCGAGAAGTTTCGTCCACACTTTTGAGCATTTTCAATCGAAATTTTTTCTCTACGCATTCATTCTTTCTTCAAGTTTTTTTTCCTCCATTGATTTATACAAATTATTGTGCTTGTTTATTCATATTTCACTTTAAGTGAAAGTTTGGCAGTAGTGGTGAATCAATTAAATACTAAACTGGATCGCATTTAGCAAAAGGAACCAGCGCTTATACAGTGTTGTAAAAATGTTGCTTCCTTATAATTATCTAAAAAATTTCTCAGATTGCCAAATAGTTTTGGCTTTCCACCAACAGATTGTTGATTTAAAAGGAAAATAATTGTATTTTTAATGCTGTCTACAAACATTAAGTATTTTTAAAAGAAAAGAAAAAGTTGCACGATTTTGAAAACACCATACTCGCGCTGGTTCCTTGTTGCCAAATGTCGTCCAACTAATTAAATTAAAAGTGTAAATTGTGAAGAATTATTTTTTAAACTCGGTAGTTATAAAAAGTATTTTAAATGCGATTCAAATAGGGGTAGTGGAAATGTAAGCTGGTATAACCATGAAGATATGAGCATCAAGAGAGATAAAGACAAGGTATCTCGACTGCGTTACCAACAATAAAGGTGGGTGGAGTGGGTTATAAGATTAAAAGATGAAGGAGAAAATATTCTGTGTACAGATATTTTATTGCTATTCAACTTGTAAACATAAGCTAATTTACACGATGTAATTGTGTAAAAAAGAAGAAAAAAACTCTTCGAGGTGCGGAGTACATCATACCCACGGTCCACACACAAAAAACCATACTCTTATCTCCAGAACTTTTCTCAGCGTGAAATCGGGTAAGATAGACGTGAAAGTGCAAGCACAAAAAGACTATTAGGCTGGTCCACAAAATAAGTTTGAGTATATTTCGCACACCTACTATGTAAAACATTTTTAAACGAGAAAA